AACAAACAAAAAATCTATTACAAAAGTGACATAATTTCTTTAAAATAACTAAATATCTATTAACTTCTTCTTCCATCAACTTTCTACCACTGTTGACTATATTGTTGACAATTTATATTGTGACCAAACCACATCTCTGCAATAGTTTTTAATAAGCCACCCCTAACACATCCACATCAATACAAAAGTACACATGACTTCAAAGACATCCAATGTTCATAATGCCCCTACACTGACTAAGGCTAACAATTACAAGTAAAGACTTGCTTGGCTAGAATGTTGGTTTCAGGGGAAAATGGTGAAATGTTTGTGAGGTACATTAGGTCGCACAACCACGGTGTGTCTGCAAGGGACACCCAGCACCACCCAATACCTACAAGCATCAAGGAAGAAGTCAAAGGAAAGTTGGTAATGAAGGACCTACGTGAGGGGCTAGAAGACAGAGATGGTAGAACCAATGTCGATCCTGGAAAGCTGAAAAGTTATCAACTCTTAAAAACTAGCACAGTTAGAGAGACAGAAGATGAACTTAAGCACCGGTTTGCATCCAAACGATGCCACAGCTGTAAGTATATTAATGAATGAGTTACTTCACCAATTAGGACGACCCAACACAACCAGGATGGTATCAACTGTGGTGTATTTGTCTGTTTTTACGTAGACAAGCTCATTAGCAATGGAGATATTAAAATACCATTGAACCCACACCAGTATCGTTATCATATGTATCTCACAATAGTTGGTGCCTGCATTTGAACCGTTTTGGATTTCAACAATACTGAAGTCTGTCCCAAGTGTACAGGAGATGAAAACTAACAGAGCTGGTAATGTGTAGTCGCTGCAGCCAGTGGTTCCACTGGAAATGTGTGGGATTAACACATTCAAAAGCGAAGTCCATCCAGTTTTTCTGTGGTTGATTGACAGAAAACGCCTTTATACAAGTTTAAAAAATCAATACAAATCTTATTAAATGTTATGAGTTGATTCTGTCGCAGATTCCGTCAATACTTAAATCTGTGGGAGAAAGGTTTATACTGTTTAATATTACCGTCCGATGCAAATAATATAAAAAGAGAAGTCTCCAAAAAATTACTTTTCGTTTGACATGTCGAAGTATTACCACAAAAAAATTCTACAGTGATGAAAAGCAAGTATAGATATGCTAGATTAGTAAAAAAAATCTGTGTTATATTGTTTGTGCTAATTTATTTCTATTTAATTAGATGCATACAATAAGCAATTCTAAATTTCGATATTATAAGTTATCAGAATCCCAACACACAGTCAATTAGGAAATGTTAATTGCTTTCCCTTTATTTTTTGGTGATTGTAAAAGTCAAGAAACATTGTTCAAGGGGACAGGAATTTTGTGCGAGAAATGTCTTTTGAAATTAAAGGTTTATATAATGCATTCATTTTGCAAGTGTGCCATGCAAATGTACAATAGCATAGTAATTCAGTTTTTACATATCGGAGTGATATCACAATATTTTGCTGCATTTTTAAGTACAGGTTTTATTATAATGCTTTCATTTTGGAAATGTGCCATGATAAGGCACAATTGCATAGTAATTCAGTTTTTAAAATATCAGAGTGATATCACAATATTTTGCTTCACTTGTATGCATTCAGTTATGAGATACAGGATTGCTATAAAACAGTGTTCAACAGGTAGTCTTAAATGGCCAATTACATCAATCTTTATTATATCAACAGTTTACAATAGTCATCCCACTAATATCGTCATTGGGAAATGTCACATACACAGCAAATGCAGACCAAATTAAACCTATGGTCCTGAGTGATAGTACTAAATTTAATAAAGCGCCTTGAGACGGTTTTCTGTGGAAGGGGCTATATAAATATAACCACTGACCTTTGACCAACCAACCAACTGCTTAGACTGTGGTATGGCAATCTATAATTGATTAATTTTTTGGTTGTACTTCATTATATTTATATGCAACAACCCTAATTTTTTTGCATGACTTTGTTGATAAAACTATTTGTTTTTCAAGTACGGTTTCTTATGACAGATTTTTTCCTAACTGTGATCGGTCATAATATTCTTGTTTCAGCAACATAAAAAAATGTATTTTTTATAGGGGTTTATACAGCCTCCCTGAAGATTCATTACATCAAGTTACATATTTTTAATTGAAAAAAAACAAAACCAATAACAATAACATAGTTATATGTGGTGCCAAGTGTAAATTCATTATTAACATAATTATGTATTTGTAATTCATTATTTAACATATAATGACTAGATCAACCGAATTGTGTTGAATAATAAACTTACACTTGGCGCCTTATATCTCCAAGTGTAAATTTATTTTTTAACACATTAGTAGTGATTAGTGAACTTATAAATAATTGTAAATTACTTTTCATTAGTTATTTTAAAGAAATTGTTACCCTTTACTTATTTATATATAATGAGATTAGTGAACTTATTAGAATATATAATATATAAATAATATGCTTTCATTATTTACGGCATATGAAATGACAGGGAACATTTTCGCCAGTATCGCATCGCAAATAGCTACACATTAATTAACAATTGCTACGCAATTACAAAACCGCGTCGCACAACATTGCGAACCAAGAAAAGCCTCATCCCTGCAAGTTGTTTTTCACACTAGGCCCTAGGCCTAGCCAGACGTAGGCCTCCGAATGTTTTCCATGTTTTAGTTGTCATTCGTTTTCAATAAAATATTTCTCATTGTGTTTGTATTGTTTTTCAATCACCTCAACCATGCTTCTACGTATCATTCTGATCACTCACTCGAGCTCAAAGGCAATGACCTCGTTTACGACGTGCGAACACGTCACAAAATCGCCGATTTGTTTTCGTCTCCTCGAGTCTCGGCGGAGTAGATACATTGCGCATGTCCCGTCGGCCGTCACGATTAATTGAGGCCAGTATTTTTCCTTGGATACAGGACGATGATATGCGTTCTGCTAATAAGCCTCTTCACGGTTTCAACCGTGCATGTCTGTTACCAAGGTCAAGTAACATAAACTCGTCTTCATTATAATAATAATTTATTAGGAAATTACACTTTTACATCAGTGGCACTCAGCCACGAGGGCGGTGCATCCATAAAAACAATACAAGCAACATTTACAGTTATAAAACATTTAAAAGAAAACAAAAATACAAAATCGAAAACAAATATCAATGAAATACAATCAAAATTCTCTAAAAACCAAATTTTATTTTAACGCCTATACATCACGGTATGGGAGTTTCAATGGTAATACGAGTTTATATTACTTGACCTTGGTAACAGACATGCGCGCGCGAATAATTGAAATGGTTTGGTTACATTCTAGTCATTAAAATAATTAATGTGGTGCAAACAGTAGAACTCATTATAAACATAAACTAAATTAATGAAAGTGTACAGGACGTTATTAAATCGGAAGCAAATGAAAAAAAAATACAAACAATAGTCTTATTGTTGTTTATTTTTTTTGTCGGCTTCCTGATATCCCTTAAAACAGAATGGAAGAGGTCACATTGAAAAGATAAGGGATGGGGGATTAAGGAATGGCCTATGATGTCCATCAGTTTGTGGTCTGTTTAAAATGGCAACAGCTAAACCTAAAGGGGTTCGATTTTTAACTGCGAAGAAATGGCAAGATTAGACCGATTTTAAGCCATGGCTTAAGTTGGAAAGTGAAGATGGTGAGTTCCTAAACAAAATGTGGTGCTCTGTATGTGCATTGCACGTGGATAAGCTGAAAAGGTACCAAAATTTTAGTAGAGCATTTGTGGATGGGCTAACCGAACATAGTACACTCAAACGTGATCAACTCAACAAGCACAGAAAGTCAGAACAACATGTAAGAGCGATGAACATGAGTAGTAACCCGTTTACACGTGCCGAGTTATATGCCCAGACATCCATTGGCAAGTCCATGGCTAAGGGTGAAACTGAAGAACGCGAGAGAGTGAAAAAGTTAATGGACATTAGCTATACGATGGCCATGAAAGAAATTGCTTTCAGTAAGTTTCCACGCATTGCACAATTGGAAATTCGACACAAGGTTCCACTTGGAAATACTTACCTAACGGGATTAAAATGTAAGGAATTCACAGAGATAATCGGTGAGGTAATGGAAAAAGACCTCCTAAATAAGATCAAGGAAACAAAATATGTTTCGATTTTGTCTGATGGTTCGACCGACGTCTCAAATCTTGAGAAGGAATTGGTCTACATTACGTATGTGAAAAATGCTGATGTTTTCACCAGCCTTTTAGCAATACGAAATGTTAAAGCCAGACTCCGGAGCAAAAAACAAAAAAATGATATGTTGTATAAATTAATTAATATATTGAATATATACCGAAGTCACCCTGAAAAAAAGATGAATTATTCATATAAAACGAAAAAACAAAAATCAATCTACAATAATAATGCAGTGGCTATTTTTAGCAATTTTCTTTTTTCACTAAGCCTGGCAGTCGGGTCAAAGGTTGTTTTGGTAATCAATTGAGCGTGACACTGCGTGCGATCGCGAGCTCTATGCAGTGCAGTGGTTGTCTTGTGTAGTGTTGTTTTGGTTGTCGTCAAGATGGTGAAGTATTGTATGGCTTACAATTGTACTAACCGATCAGATCGGGACATTCACGTTATGTACCATCGGCTGCCGTTATCCATCAAGAGAAAACCCTATTTATCCAAATGGATCGAGGCGTTGCGGCTTAAAAATCCACCAATTAATGCGAACTCCAGATTATGTTCGGCCCATTTTACTTGGGATTGCTTCAAAACTTACGGTGGTAAGATGACTTTGAAAGATGATGCAGTGCCATCCATATTTTCGTTCGAGAAAAAAACCGAGAAAAAAACTTACCGTGTACTAAATGAAAAAAAAAAAAAATCCACTAAAAACATCCAGCTTGGGTGTTACATTGCATTAGGCCTAAGGCTAGATTGGAATGTGGCTAGCTGGCTGCTTGGCTGTCTGTAGATGAAGGCCAAAGGCTAGATTGGAATGTGAATGGCTGTCTGTCTGTGGATGAACCTTGAGTAGCAGCTGTTAATTACTAGAAAGGTCTTGATTAAAATTCCATGGATCATCATGGGGTGGTAGCATATATTTTATTTTGATTATAAAATGTAGAATGTGTTCTCACTCATAACCATTACTTTGTAAATACAGTATATTGAATAATCATTGTGTATGTAATTACTGTAATATATTGTTTGATTGTATTAATTGCAGCCTGTAGACGAAGGGCCATCATTTAGTGAATTTCGACCAACTGCAATGTCAACACCGAAGAAGAAAGCTGCACATTTGCAAGGTGCACTGGACACTACCATGGACATCCATGATACAAGTGGAGAAAGTATAGTATCAAAGGGGCTTGATTTGTCCTACATTCAATCAAGAAGCTCAGACAGTACAAGCGATGAGCCAGATGATGTAGTAGACGACATTATTTCATCCAAGAAATTTATAGTCTTTGAGAAAAACCTTGAACAATTGATGATGTGCAGAAATACTACATGCCAGGCAGGAACACCAATTGTTAGTATAAACAATTCATTTAAAGGGAGTGCTGTAATATATGCCGGTTACATAAATGGGCACCCATTCCATTGGGAGTCACAGCCTATTGCTGGTTCCAGATATGCTGGGAATATAGCCTTAGCAGCCTCAACCTTGATTACTGGGAATACCCATTCCACAATGTCAGAGGAAATTTTAGAAACTGTAAATATACAGACTCTAAAGAAGTCAACCTTCTATGAAATTCAATCACAACTGTTGCTTCCAACAATTGAGGCCATGTACACTGCTCACATTGAAGATGTTCAAAACCGTAAGTACACAATACTCTGGCTTCATAGGCCTGTAATTACAGTACCTCCTAAATTTGTTAACTTTTTTCTTGGTTTGGTCTTGTTCATATGATTTGTTTAGTTACATAACAATAGGTGCTATAAATCTTACTCATTGTTTATTATTATTAATTATTATTAATAATAGTTTTGCTATTGTATTGTATTATCATCAGTGCTATCACCCAACTGGAAGATTGGCCTGTCAAAAATAATTAAATACTGTAGCATATTGATATTTATTTCTTAAAATGAGGTTGAATAAAAAACCTATATTTTTATAATTTTATTTTAAATCTTATTACAGGTTACGTCAATCGACCAACCAGAATCACAGTAGCAGGCGATTGCAGGCATGACTCACCAGGCCATAATGCTACTTATGGAACATATTCAGTTATGGATGTGGGTCCATACAGATATAATCTTAGCTTCAAAAACATTGTCTGTCGATGAAACAGATGTGAAAAACTCCCATCACTTGGAGAATGAAGGATTGAAAAGATGCCTAAATGAACTGAAGGTTTGTGAATTATACTTTATACACTAAGTCAAATTATGAGACTTAATATTGGTGCAGTAACATGCACCCCCACCAGGTACCCATTTATACTCGTGGGTGGAGAAATGCAATGCGTATAAAGTGCCATGCTTGAGGTCACAGGCGAAATGCGAGCGAGGGATTAAAATTCCGACCTCGATGTTGGGAAAATAAACCGTTCCAGCTGGGCTAAATTGCCTGTGCCGTAACAGGATTTTGATCCCCAGGATATTGCAAACATTGACTTATGCTGTATTAACAAAACACATTATTTTCAAATTTTTTTAGGATCACCAAGTTTCTATACATACGTTGGCAACTGATCGCCACCCGATGGTAAACAAGACGATGAGAGAACAGTATCGTCAAATAAACCATGAATTTGACATCTGGCATCGGGCCAAAAGCTTGCGTAAAAAACTCTCTGCAGCATCGAAAAAACACAAAGACATGCAGCAATGGGAAAAGTGTGTTGTAAACCATTTCTGGTGGTGTTGTGAGACTTGTGAAGGGGATGTTACCCAATTGTTGGTGAGTACTGTACTATTCATGTATTAAAAATATCAAAACTGAAAAAATTTACGATCATAAAATTTATCAAAGGGTAACTTTTAAAGAAGTTCATACATCCATCCATTCACTGTATGTCCGTTTTTCTAACTTAATCCACCAGGAGCGATGGCAATCTGTGCTAAGACATATTGTAGATGTCCATGAATGGAGGTGTGCAACTAAGTTCTTCAAGTGTGCACATGGAGAACAGGAACCAAAAGCATTGCTTGAGGCAGGAGGTGATGCTCATAAAGCACTTCAGTCAATAGTAATGGAAAAGAAATTTCAAAAAGACATGAAGCTGGTAATTATTTGTAGGGGTGGATCAACAAGCAAATTTTCTGTCCATGTATTCTTCAGTAGGGGCCTACAGTAATTTGTTTAATAATTTTGATGGTGTTTCAGTCAAGTACAGTGTATTTGCATACATATAATCAACTAGCTATATTATGTTTCATTTTGTTTTTGCCAGGTTTCAAAGCAATGTATGTGTCATAACATGCTTTAATTTATAACAATGTTATTATTGGTTGCAGGCAACTGCCTTCTGCCATACAGGTAACCTAGAAGGGTTCCATAGTATGCTGCTAAAGTATATGCCCCAAGAGGTCCATCTTCAACCACGAAGGAACCATTGCAAGAGGACTTCTTGCAGTCTTGGACAATAATATGACTGCAGATAGAGGATACGCCACTTCATGTGGAGGTGAACTGAAGTATGCACCGAGGTGGTCCAAAAGGTCGAAAATATATAAAGGGTATAATTGTTGTATGATTACCGTATATTTGACTCTGTGTTTTTATTACGAGCTAGTGTGAGAGGCTAATCGTAACAGGTCCAAAAGGTCGAAAACATATAGCGTGTACAAAATAAAAGCACCAAAAGACTATACATTCCGAGATGATCTGATAAAAGGCGTGTTTGATTGAGCTATGAGTGGTTAGTATTTTTAGTAATAGTACTGTACATATTTTAATGTTTTTAACTATTTATTTTAAAAAAATAACGGCATTTTTATAACAAAATATGGAAAACAGGAGAAAGCCATTCAATTCCAATTTCTTTTTCTTTATTTGGGAGCTACAAAAATTACAATTTGAATTAATTTTTTTAATTCATTTTTTTCTGTTATTAGCATAATTTTTATTTAACCCTATTGCATGATGTACTAGCAATTGTTAAAAATCTTGCATATTAATTATCAAACAATTACTGTTATTAAATTATTACTGCACATTGCATTCAATATGCCTATACAGGTATTTAAATAAGCTTTGAATTTTAAAAAAATCAAATTGCTTTGAATTTCAGGCAAAAAAAGCCTCACAAAACTGGTTGATAAGTCAATGAAGAAGAGGAAGGAAGACACCAGAGGACCAAAGCCAACCATAGAAGATGCAGTAAAAGCCCACCTACCTCGAAAATAAGTTTGCGATTGTACAAATAGTGACTAGTAAATGATGATACCTGTACATACAGTAATGTAAACAATGCTCTTAAATATACAGTATTTTAGAGCATAAAGTAAAATTGCAATTTCTTTATGATTTTTAACTGTTATGTACAGGTAGGTAATTAGTTAGCAAAAAAATACATAAGAAATGATATGATATAATGATTATCAGTATATTTATTAAAAAATAAACATGAAATATGATAGTTTCACATTATTTCTTATTTCTTAGTTCAACTAGATTTGAGTCAAGTTCATGTAAAACTGATTTTAATCCACAAGTGAATTCTAATATTCAATCTAAGTCAAATTTAAATAAGCCTGGTGCTTTAAACCGTGATAATTCGACTTCCGATAGAAGTAAATCTCAATTCGTATGTTCTTATTGTCGAAAGCCTGGACATGTTATTTCACAGTGCCACCGTTTGAAATCAAAGCAAAATCGGGGTCAACAACAGCAGCAACCTTTGGCTTTGATTTCAACTAAACTTAATGTAAATCATAATTGTAATACATATGAATCAGAAAGCAATTCTAAATTTCGGGTTACAAACACTGAAAATTTTGAACATGAAGTTCGTAGTATGGATCTCTGTTTCAATAGTCTATATTGGACTGTGAGTGAATGATTGTTGTTGACATCTAGTAACATGGACCTTTGTCTCAAGACTCTACAGTGGACTGCGAGTGATTAACGCGACATCGTTTCCTCAGGCCTAGCGACATCGTTCCAAGATTCTAGCGACATGGTTTCCTCAGGCCTAGCGGCATCGTTACTCCAGATTCCAGCTGTAATGTAACTATATGTAAAAGTTGTGTGTGTGTTATGAATATGGTTGTTGTTATATTGTATAGCGCTCATGAGTGGTGGTTATGTTAAATAAAGGGTATAATTGTTGTATGATTACCGTATATTTGACTCTGTGTTTTTATTACGAGCTAGTGTGAGAGGCTATTTGTAACAAATTGGGGGCTCGTCCGAATTGAACGAAATTTAAACTTCCCAATACAATAAACATGAAATATGATAGTTTCACATTATTTCATATTTCTTAGGTATTATTTTAATGATGGATTCTATTTTACATTTTACCACTTGCAAACAATAATTGTCCGATGGGATAACATATGTGCAAGATGTTTATCTCAAACCACCTCACCTCCTTCCACCACCACAACCCCCCCCCCCAATGCACTGTTATGTGTGGATAATTCTAATAATTCTAATAATTTAACCCAATTTGAATATGCAATGTGTTAATAACAGGGGCTGCTCCAACATATATAATCTGGGGTGAGGAAGGGGAACTGAGTGGAACGGTACAATGTGGGCGGAGGGGGAAGTCCCCGATGAGAACTAAGTGGGCGTGGTCAGGCAGGGGCGTACCGTGGGGGGTCGATGGGTGCGGTCGACCCCCCCCTTTTAAAGAAAGTGCCCTTTTAAATATGATTTTTAAAAAAATCTAGCATAATTAAACTGCGCCTAACATGAAGGTAGTTAATATCAAAATAAATTATCCTTCGCCTAAAAAATGTTTGGT